TGAGGTGAGCTGAGGGGCTGATGCTGATGGCTGAGGTGATGCAGCCTGAGGGCTGAGACAGGTGAGGCGAGGCCGAAGCAGTATTGAGGCTGGAGCTGAAGCAGGGCTGAGGCTGAGGCAGAGGGCAGGCTGAGCAGGCTGCAGTCTGGGCTGAGGCTGAGGCGTTTGCACCATGTGAGAGGTGAGGCTGAGGCTGAGGCTGATGCAGGCTGAGGCTGAGGCAGGCTGAGGCTGTGGCCGAGGCTGAAGGCAGACTGAGGCTGAGGCTGAAGCAGGCTGAGGCTGAGGCTGAGGCAGGCTGAGGCTGAGGCAGGCTGATGCTGAGGCTGAGGCAGGCTGAGGCTGAGGCTGTGACTGCGACTGCCGTTGCCACTGCGACTGTCATCGCGAAGGCGACTACGACTGCGAGAAGTAGAATTCTACAACTGGATTTTCATCTGAATCTTAAGGGGAATGCTTCCAGATATGCTCCTACACATCGCTGTTAGGTTGCTTTGCCGGGATTTTTTTTGTGTTCTTTCCTTGTTTCTGCCCCCCCAAAACACCACCCCACAACACACACACACCACCAACACCACCTGTTCAAGACTTTCTCAGTACGGATTCCGCATCCATTCGGTCCTTATTGAAGATTCCTTGCTAAACGGGCATCCTTACTGACGAATGCCTACCTACATCATCCTCGCTAAGGGCTCATCACTAAACGGGGCCCTTAGGTTCCCTTGGTTCAGGCGTCCTTGCGAAGGGCTGCTCCCTACATTTGTCCTGGCTTGTAAGCTTGAATCACGTGAGCAATGGCCTCAGCCGTCACGGATCAGCGCCCGCGCGGTCCGTGGCCTCCCCTCGCGCGGGGCGCTGCATGCAGCGCGGGGCCCCCCTCGAGCGCGCGGCTGCCGCGCGCGGCGGGCGCCCCCTGGGCTGGTGGCGGCGGCTGCTGGGCGGCTGCCCGCGGCGGCGCGCCGCCGCCGCGGCCGCGAGCGCGGCCGCGCCCTCGCCGAGCCCTGTCGGCGCCGGCTCCTGCGGTCAGCAGCGCGTGACGTGCACGTGGCGAGCGGCGCGGACGCCGCCCTGGCGAGTCGGGCCGCCGCGCAGCTCACGGCGGCGACTCTGGGCTGTACCCCTTGCAGGGCCGGCGCTGCGCCAGCCAGGGGACCGCCGGCGCCGGTTGCCGCCGCTCCGGCGCCGCGGCAGAGGCCCGCCGCCGCCAAGGCGGACCCGCCGGGAGGCGGGCGCGCCGAGACCAGGGCCTCCGCGGTGTGGCGCCACCCGCTGCGGCCAGAGCTGCGGGGAGTGCACTGCGGCGGTGGCGAGGCGTGGAAGGCGCTGGCGGCGACGCTGCCGGGCGGGCGCTACTCCTTCGCGTCGGGAGCTCGGTTGCGTAGGTTCGCCAAGGAGCGGAGCGCGGTGGCGGGCCTCGAGGCGGAGGCGCCCAAGCACGAGGCGCCGCTGCCCGCGCCGCGCTTCGACTGCCTGCGGCCGCGCCAGCCCTGAGCGCCATGCCCCGCGCCGTGCTGGGCGGGATGGAGGCCGCCAGCGCGGAGGAGTTCGAGTGGGAGCTGCGGGTGACCGAGCTGACGGACGACTACCAGCCGCTGCAGGTGGACGTCTCGGTGGTGCATCCGGGCCTGTCTTTGGACGGCGGCGGGATCACTGTGCCCATCGCGCCGATCAACAAGGCGCGCGGGGTGCTGACGCTGGCGTTGCCGGCGGACGTCTGCCCCTGGCTGGGCCCGCACTTCTCGACGCTGGGCGACCCGGCGACGAGGCTGCCCGCGGACGTGGGGGGCAATGCGCAATGGGAGGGGGGCGTCACAGCTCGGGCATGAGGGGGCAACACATGAGCTAAGAGGGGATGGGGCCCCAGAGTGAGGGGTCAACGCGCCAGAATGAGGGCTCAAAGCATGAGCTAGACGGGGGGCGACGCCCCACCTTGAGTGGTCTACGCATGAGGGACGAGAACCCCTGGGGGGTCAACGTATACGAGTCTATAGCATGAGGGGACAAAGACCCAGCGTGAGGGGTTGAATAATGAGGGGCGGAAGCCCAACATGAAGGGTCGACGCATGGGGGGGTACGCCCCAGCGATGGGGTCAGCGCGTGACGGGTCATATTTTCAGAATGAAGGGTCAATGCGTGAGAGGTGCACCGTGGGTATCGCTTCGCTTCATGGCACAACCTTATCCGCAAGCGGAGGGGCAACATATTGAGGAGCGAACCGCCCGCCCTTCAACTCATGAGTGGTCTCATGCCTCACATGAGGGATCAACGCGGTCCAAGCTCCCGCGTGTGGGGTCAACGCATGAGCTTAGAGGGGGCCAGTACGCGACGTGGGGGTCCACGTCGGATGGGGGTGCCCTAACGTGATTGGTCAACAACTGAGGAGCCGAAGTCCGGGCGTGAGCGGACAGCGGATGAGGGAGGAGGGGTCCAAGCCCCAGCACGAGGAGCCAGCGCATTAGGGGTCGAAGCTCTAGCATGGAGGGTCGAAACAGGAGCTAAGAGTGAACAGAATCCCAGCAACATGAGCCGACGGATGAAACGTCAAAGCCCCAGCACGAGGTGTCATTGTATGGGAGTCAACGTCATGAGGGGGGCAAGACGCCAGCATTAGGGATGTATGATGAAGGGCGGAAGCCCAGCATGATGGGGTCAGCGCGTATGGGGCCAACGCCCCAGTAATGGGGCCAGCGCATGGCGAATCATTTGTTCAGGATGAAGGTCAACGCATGGGAGGTTTAATCCAAGGCGTGTGGTATGCGGGGTTGGCCCTCGTGTGAGGGGTCAGGCGGAGGAGGAGGCGGCGGAGGAGGAGGACCAGTGCAAACCCAGGAGTCACCAAGGATGTTGGAATAAGCTCTCCCCCAAGCTCCCTCTTCATAGGCCACTGCAACGGTTCATTTCCACAAAGGGACCTGCCTCGTTGGAAGACGCCCTTCTGAAAATCCTGAAGCATGCTAAGACATTGTTATCGGGATTTCAACGCCACGGATAAACCTGACGGTTGCGTTTTTCCGATCCTTAATCGCGCCCGAACGCCATTCCTGGGATTCAACACCGTGAACCATCGTAACTGTTGCGCCCTTATAATCATGAGTGTTTCCCAAACGCGATTTCTGGTACGTCGATCATAGGGAGTCTTAAACGAATGTGCGCGGCGCTCAGGCGATAGCCACATCTTGAAAAGGAGCCGCCCTCAATCCGTAAAACTCTTACATTATACAACGACTGTGCGCGGCGCTGAGGCGAGAGCCACATTAAAAAAACACCCGCCCTCAATCCGTGAAGCTCATGCAACTTGTTGCAACGAATGTGTTCGGTTCTAATGCGAGAGCCACATTTTGAAAACGACCCGCCCTCAATCCGTGAAGCTCTTGCAAATTGTTACAACGAATGTGCGCGGCACTGTGGCGAGAGCCACATTTTGAAAACGACCCGCTTTCAATCCGTGAAACTGGTGCGATTTTTCAAGACGAATGCGCGGGGCTAATGCGAGAGCCACATTTTGAAAATGATCCGCCCTCCATGTGTGAAACTGTTGTCATTTTGTAAGCTTCAGGGCCATGCATGGTGAGGAAGTCTCAGAAGAAACGCCCGGCCCGCCCTAAAACTGGCTTCGGGGTGCGACCGGGAGAAGTTATTCATAAGGAAAAGGAATGGAGGAGGACGAATAGGAGGGGGAAGAGGATGAGGATGATGATGAGGATGAGGATGAGGAGGAGGAGGAGGAGGAGGAGGAGGAGGAGGAGGAGGAGGAGGAGGAGGAGGAGGAGAGTGAGGTGGAGGAGGAGGAGCATGCGGAGGAGGAGGAGGAGGAGCAGGCGGAGGAGGAGGAGGAGGAGGAGGAGGAGGAGGAGGAGGGGGAAGAGGAGGAAGAGGAGGAGCAGGCGGAGGAGGAGGAGGAGGAGGAGGAGGAGGAGGAGGAGGAGGAGGAGGAGGAGGAGGAGGAGGAGGAGGAGGAGGAGCGGCGATTGCCCCGATGTTGCCGTCTTTCCGCAGTGGCCCTGTTCGTTGCAGTCCGAGGAAACAGAGCAGAAGGCGTGGCCAAAGAGGACTCGGCCAGGCCAGCCGAGCTACGGTCGGCAAACATTTGGATAGCGTGTCTCTCCGCCGGTTCTGGCCAACTGCGCCGCGGCGCGACAAGCTATCCGCGTCGGGGTCCCCCAGCGTCAACTCCTGAGGTTTCCCGAGTCTCCCGCCCCGCGGAGCGCAGCGACACGCTATCCGCTCGGAAGGCATAGTGAGTCGCCGGGGCCGCCGTGGCGACACGCTAGGCAACAGTACTCGATCGTAAGTATGTGACATTGCGAAGCCCCAGCGCACCTCCTCCTTATCTGCTTCGTCTCAGCTGCAATGACCGAGCAATGCATACGGCCAGGACCGCCATTTCCCCGTTGATTTCGCGCTCTTTTCTTGTGTAGTTCGGGCAGGAGGAGGCGAGGGAGGAATATAGCATGAGGGGTGATGAGGGGGAGAAGGAGGAGGAGGAAGAGGAGGAGGAGGAAGAGGAAGAGGAAGAGGAGAAGGAGCAGGATTGCGAGTGAATGGAGGAGTATATGGATGGATACGAGTCCTGCGTCCCCATCGTCAATGATTGTCGCCTGCTCCAACATGCCCAGACATTCTGGTTCGTTTGTGCGGATGCGTCATGCGCGTGAACTTGTTCGTTCCCCTCTTGTTGTATTGTGGCCTGTCATGTCGCGACATCCAGGGGGACGTGGTGTTTGCGACACAACCTGCGAAACAAGAGCTATGGTTCAACGAACACTGACATGGGTTCGTGAATGATACATGCGCATCAGACCGTGGACGGTAAAGCATGGCAGCGCACTCGTCATCATAGAGTACCAATTGGTGAGCATTCCGCAATCACAAAGCGTACCTTTACGGTCTTGAGCCAACCGCAGTCGAATCCAGACACTAGCGAAACGCAAGCTGTCGGTGCTTCGCTCAGGCTCAGAACTCATAATCATGAACCTCTTCTTGGCTGCCTCCCATGCGAGGTGAACGCCGGGCGGTTCATGGATTGTTACGTGCGCAAGAACGACGCGCCATGTACCGCTGACATCCCCATGGATGAGCACTGTGACCTGGCCTGGGAAGCGCCGAAATGTCCCCCACATTCTTTCGTGAGTTTTTCATTTGGACACGCTTACAGGGTTTCTCGCTACCTCGCTTCTTGGCCGTGCGCATCGGTTGTTCGACTCGGTCGCCGTCTTTGATTTTTTGTTCGCATATCTACTAAGCTTTGGTGTGTGTGTGTGTGTGCTCCCCTCTGTAGTCCTCTGGCTCAAGGCCACGAGCGGGCCCCCCCCTCGAGGTTTCCCGCGCTCAAGAGGGCGCCCGGCGCGAGGGGCCCCGTCCCTCGCCTGCCGTCCCCCGCCGGCTCCGCTCGCCGGGAGCATGCGGGGAGCCGAGAGGGGCCACCACCGCGGGCTTTCCTCTCGACTCCCGCCGCGCCCGATGGAGACGGCCGCGGCGCGGCGCGGCGGCGGCGCCAGCGCCGCTGTGCGGGGCTTTCCGCGCTCCTTGTTTTTTATATTTTTACTTTTTTTTTTTGATTTTTTTTTTTTTTTCTTTTTTTTTCTTAATTTTTTTTCTTTTTTTTATTTTTATTTTTTTTTTATTTTTTTTTTCGTTTCTTTTTTTTTTTATGTTCGGCTTTTTATTTTTTTATTGTTTTCGGAGGCGGGCTGCCGCCGGCGCTGCTGGCGCCGCGGGCGGGCCCCCGTGGCCGCGCCTGCTCAGTGTACGCCGCCGCGGCGCGCGTGCGGCTCGCCGGCGCTGCGGCCGCGCGGCCGGCCGCGGCCTCCGATGGTGTTGCCGCCGCCGCTGACGCTGCTGCCGCCGCCACGGCGGCCACCGCGGCCGCCGCCGCGGCCGCCGCCGACGCGGCCGTTGCGGCCGCCGCCGGAGCTCGGCCCGAGCTGCCGCGGCCGTGGCCCGTGCGGCCGCGCTGGGGCCCGCCGCGGCCGGCGCCGCCGCGGCAGCCGCCGCTGCCGCGGTGGCGGCTGCCGCCTCCTCTGCGGTCTGCGGGCCCGCCCGGGGCGGCCAGGCTCCTGCGGGATTCTAGCACCCTGCCGGGTCCCCAGCGCCGTTGATGCAACTGTTGGGAAGCATGCCGGGGGTGAACGCAGTTGCGGAGGCGAGACGGTGCTTCCCAGGGCCGCGAGTCGGCCAGTAGCACGTCCTTGAGACATATTTTGCCATGGGCTCTGAGGCGCAGGAGACGTCCTCCCCGTGAGCTACACCATGTGCATCGTCAACGATGGTTTTACAGAACGCCTGGGTGGCTCACGCGCTGCCGCTGATGCGGCCCTTTTGCAACAGCGAGGCTTACAGTTGATCCCTCCACAGTGTGACGCTTACAACGACAGCGCCTACACCTGCACCGACGCCAGCACCGACGCCAGCACCAACGCCGGCGCCTATGCCAGCGCCGACGCCAACGCCTACACCAGCACCGGCGCCAGCACTAACGCATGCGCCTACGCCGGCACTAGCGCCAGCGCCTACACCAGCACCGACGCCAGCACTGGCGCCAGCCCCAATGCCAGCGCCTACGACGGCGCCGACGCCAGCGCCTACACCAGCACCGTCACCAGCCCCAACGTGTGCTCCTACGCCGGCACTAACACCAGCGCCTACACCAGCACCGGCGCCAGCACCTGGTGTTCGACATAGTCTTCACGGTGCCCGTATCGTTTGTTCTCCGTGTTCTCGTTTGCAGTGAAACCAGCTCTCTATAATTAGGACCAGCTCGACTTCTACATGATCCACTTTATGGTTCAGACGTTGCGTCATGGTTGTCTTCATCTTTTGTGAATTAAGCGTGCGGTACCTTTGCCGCTCTCGGTTGAATCTTACGAGTTGCGGATTGTCGACCATTACCGTGTTCATCGGCGTCGACGGGCATACGATGCTTACGGGCATGCGTCAAGGCTCCAGGTCGTTTTCACGAGGTTCGCGATGGGTGGGTGCCGCTGGTGGCGCCGCGACTGGGTTATGTGGATTGCTGTGGGCCTCCTTGGAGTGCGGTGTGTGGGAAGGAGCAGTCATGTATCATTATGCGACCTACTGCCTACCCGGGAATCGCGTGGTGCAGGATCCCCCTTGTGTGTGGTCACTCCGGCGAGTGCTCACAGGAGTTTGCCTTCTGGCTGCGTGCCATATTGCATCTACAAGCCTCGACTTCTGGGACCCTGCCGGGTTCTCGGCGGATAGTAGGACGGAACACCTCTTCGGGAGACGCCAGAAGACAGAGCTCAAGCACGGCCGCGCATCCGCATGCTCGCGACGGTTGGATACATCACGCCCGACATCACCAGCATGCTGCCCGGCCACTCGTCGCCTTCTGCTGCCCTGGAGGTTCCCGCGGCGTGCTGGGCGCAGATCGTGGCCTACGGCGCGCACCGCGAGTTGTTCCAGGACCAGACCGCTGGCACCCTTGCCGCGGGGAGCGACTTCGGGTCCAAGGTGCTGACGTCCAGCGACGTCGGGGACAAGCGGAAGACGTGGGCGGCTGACATCGCCAACTGCTTGAGCTACGCGCCGCCAACGCTCCGCCAGATGGGACATGGGCTGTGGAGATTGGTGTGACATCATGCGCCTCAGGTTGAAGGTCCGACGGGCGTTGTGGGTTGAGGGTCTCAGGTGCGCTCTGGATTGAAGGCTGCGTGTGTGTGTGTGTGTGTGTGTGTGCGCGTGTGTGTGTGTGTGTGTGTGTGTGTGTGTGTGTGTGTGTGTGTGTGTAAGTGAATGTGTGTGTGTGTGAATGCGTGTGTGTGTGTGTGTGTGTGTGTGTGTGTGTGTGTGTGTGTGTGTGTGGGCGGTCGAGTGCGGCTGCGCGTGGTTACCTCATTCTCTAGTGTGGTAGTGGTAGTGTGGGCAGACGTCGTAAGAATGTAGGCACGTGTTAATGGTCGAGAACTCTGGGTTCAATCCATCCCGATCGTCCCTCGCAGTAGGCAGGAAAATGAAAGTAGGCACATGGCACCCACGTCTCCGTGTATCTAGAGTCTGTGAGCTGCTCACGATGGTGTGAACGACTTGTCGTCTTAATGTGAACAGTTTTATGCCTGGATTACAGGTGCCGTCGTGCTTGCGCCGTGGAAGCGTTGTGATGGTCGGTATGCCGAAATGGATCAAGTGCCTTCGGTGGGTTCCAGAGGCACCGCTGTCCCGGCCACCTTCACGGCGCCTCTAGTCTCTGGTGCCGATGCGTTATGACGACGCCCAGGGCCTGCTTGTTTGACCCTCGCCACCCCGCGCCCTGCTCCTGGGGTCGCGGCGCCGGGTCGAGGGGTGGCCACCTCGACCGGCGCGTCTGAAGACCGCCGAGTCGGACAGCAGCGTCACTACTGTGCCTAACCGCGCGCGCCCTGGTGAATATGTCGACCCATGGATGCCCGGGCCTTCCGGCCGGGTCGGGGGGCAACGGGACGGCTACAGTGGACGGAGTTGCGTCCACGACATCGCAGAGAGTCGCGCGAGCTGGCGCGGCAAACCCATGCAGTGCACAGCGGATGGACTCCATGTCCGCTGTGCGCATTGTGCCCTGGGTCTCTGGTTCCTATTGCCAATTCGGCTCAAGGCTCTGCCAGGGCGGGGGGACATCGCTCGACAGTCCCTGGGCCGGGGGCGGTTGATGTCTCCAGGCGTCTCCCCTGGTCACACACTGATCGTTTGCGCCGGGGGGCGCCTGACCAACGCGCTCTTGGTGGTGTCGGTGCGTGGCTTACTGAGCGGCGTTCTGCCCGTCTTAAGGTTCCACCTCGCGTATCCGAGCGGACATGGAAGCAGTCGAGGCCTGTGCTTCTGGGGGGGCCGATGGGGGCCCCCAGGGGGGTGGGGGGGCTGGGCGGCGGGGCGGGAAAACCCCGACGACGTCCCGCGCGGGGGAGAGGTCGACGTCAGCTTTGGCTGCTGACGCTGTCAGCGACTAGACGCAAGGTCCAAACCGAGCTGGCGGAAGACGGGTCTTTGGCCCCGGACGAGCGAAAAAGGGAGGAACAACGCAGGACGAATTGGCTGCTAGCACCGCTCCAGCGAGCCGCGCGCGCAGGAAACACAAGCGACGCGAACACGCTCCGGCGGATCAGAGTCCAACCCAAACGAAACGTAACAAAACGGTCCGCGTGGGGACTTGGAACATCAAGGGTTTCGGTGGCCGTTTCTGTCGGAATGGCACGTGGCTGAAACGTGAGTGCTTTCTCTGAACATAGGAGACGATGGGGGTGGTCGGCAGTGTATCTCAGTGATGTGGCATACCCAGCGAACGGGGTATACTTCTGCCCGACGGCCAATCAGGACTGGACAGTCATCGTAGAAGGGCGAGTTGCCATCGCGCTCAATGCGGAATGGTCTCGCGCATGGCGAGAGGGAGGGGCAGTGCAGATGCGCTGCGATGGAAGGGGCAAAGCGCGTGTTGTTGCCATAGTCTTGGCCCGTCAGGGACGCCGCCGCGGGATCTTCTTGGCTGCGGCGTGCGCCCCCGCCGCAGAACCCGCGGCCGCGGAGGCTACGACGCGCTTTTGGGAGCAATTGCAGGTGCTCCTCGGGAAAACGCCGGGGGACTGCCACGCCCACCTGGGTGGAGTTTGAACGCGGTCGCCAGCAAGGGGGCCCATAATGAGTTTGCCCCGCATCTCGGCCTGCATGTTGGCGGCGGGACCACTGATATTGGTGTCCAAATGATGGCGGACGTCCGAGATGCGGGGATGCTAGCGGCGGAAAAGTTATGGGCGCAGCGAGACACTAGCACTGCACTTGGTACCACCCCCGATTTGATAATGGCCGTATGATTGACCACTGGCTTTGCAGACGCAGCAACAGGTGGTTCGTGGGGTGGTCTACCCGATTGGGGGGGCTGCGCGGGCCATGAGCCAGTGGAGTTGCGACTCCGGTCCGGCTGGGTCGCGATTGGCGCCACGCACAACCCATGCGAGCTGTGGGGCGTCCAGCTTGGTCGCGCCTGCGTGTGCCCATCAAGGGGGCCCAGGCGCGTCGTTCGAGTTTCGCAGCCGCCGTGCACGCTGCGATGGGCGCGCGCGGAGAGCTTGTGATGTGGGGCGACTTCGTGTTTTTGTCACGCGAGCAAGCTCTCGGATTCTTGGGAAGGGCGCACCCCCCCCGCGCGCGGCCCGTTGTTTCAGGGGAATGAGGCCGAGGTGGCTGCCGTGGGCGCGGCGATCCAGGCCGCTCGGGATGCCGATCGCGCCGCGCGTCTAGCCCCGCGTCCGGGTGCGGAGGAGGCGGGGCGAGAACGCGCTCGGGCCAGATTTGCACCGCGCAAAGAACGCCAGACCAAGCGGAACTGCCTGCGGGCGTGGCAATCCCAATGGTGGGAAGGGGCAGAAGCCGCAAAGGCCGGCGAGACAGGTGATCAGGGCGCTATGTATTCTTTGTTCCGGCAGCTCCGAGACCGCAAGGAACAGGGGGGAAGGGGCGGCGGGCGGCGCGCCGCGCCGAATGTCGAGGCGGGGCGCCAAGCGCGGGCCACGAATTTGCGGGGGGTGTCCGAAGGCCGGGGGGAAGCTAAGCCGCAGGTATGGGATGACGCGCGTAGGGTCGGTCCGTCGGCTCTGTAGTTGAGGCCTGCCCCCAGCGACGTGGGGCTCTCGCGGTGCGCGGGGAAGATGAAACTGGGCAAAGCGTCGGTGTCCGATTCGTTCCCGGTGGAGGCCCTCAGATACGCGGGCCCCAGATTCCAGGAAGCCGCGTTCAAGGTAGTCCGCGCGATGTGGAATGGAGCGGCGGGGGGGGCCGGGAGTGGCCTGGAGCTTGGCGTTTATTGTGCCCATCTGGAAGGGCAAAGGGAAACGGTCGGACAGAAACGCATATCGAGGGGTCACGCTCTCCAGTGTGGGCTCTAAGCTGCTGGTTCGCGTTGTCGCCGCGCGCCTATCCCGATGGGCGGAGCTTTTCTTAGGTGAAGAGCAATGCGGCTTCCGATGCGGGTGCGGCGTGGGCGACGTGCTCCAGCTGGGCCGACGCCTCGTGGAAGACATCTGTAGAGGGCAGAGCGAAGAGTGGTTCCTGCTGCCGTTTTTCGAGATCGAAAAGTATCCGAGGGTCGCCGAGGGAACTGCTCTGGAGGCGAGGGTTCCCCGAGCCAATGGTGAAGGCGTGTGCGGCACTTCGCGAATGGGCAGAGTGCGCGGTGCGAGTGGAGGGCGGCGTCTCTCTGCCGTGGCTCCCAGACCGGGGGCTGAGGCGGAAGCGGTGGGGCCCTGCGTCCGTTGGCGCTATTGGGTCGACGGAGAATTTCGAAAGACAGGGGCGTTCAAACGCGAGAAGAAGGCGGGCCCGAGGGCAGGGGAGCAGAAACGCGATATAGTGTTTACCGTCGTGGGCGATTTCGGTTACGCGGACGATGCGTTTTTTTTTTTTGGGGGGGGGGCCCGGCGAGCCGAATTTATTTTTGCATGGACTCTGCAGGATTGGGAAGAGAAGGTCAACGCGTCCAAAACGGAGTGGCTCAGGACCAGTGGCAAGCGCAGGGCGCCTTCCGACGTGCGGAATGAAGGCGAGCAGGCCCAAGTCCGCCAAGTCGGTGGCGTTCTCTCTGAAGATGTGAGACACGACGCAGATGCGTCGTATCTTTTGGTAAAAACGAAATCCAAGATCACGCGAGTCGCCAGAGCGTGGGCGTCGGTGGGGTCGCGTGGACGGGGGCGGCGGAGTGGGCTCAAGCTGACGTTGCGCTCCGCAATCATGAAGACCGTCGCCGATCCGTCGTTGGCGGCGTCTTGCAAGTCGCGTGCCTGGACCGCCCGCCAGTTCGAGAGCTCCCAACGGATGGCGAACTACGCAGCCTGTAAGGCTCTCGGCATGGATTTCGTTGACGCCGCGGGTGTCGCTCGGGCTGCTGGCGCCGCGCGCGCAGCCAGTGCTGCTGGCGCTGCCGGCGCTGCGGGCGCCGCGGGCGCCGCGGGCGCAGCGGGCGCCGCGGGTGCCGCTGGCGTTGCTGTCGCCGCGTACGCCGCTGGCGCCTCCAGAACTGTGGGCGCCGCCGACGCCGTGGGCGCCGTGGGCGCTGTTGGCGCCACCTCCGCCGCCGCGGACGCCGCTGCGGCGGCGGCCGCTGCCCGGTCTTGGGCGGCAGCGGCCGCCCTGGCCCAGGCGGCGGCAGTTGCGGCCCGCGCGATGGCCCGGCCGTGCGCGCCACTTGGCCCGGGGCGACGCGATCGCGAGCATCGTTGCGGAGCCTAGCAGGGCGATCGTGAGCAGCACGAGGAATTACACAAACAGGATCGTCTGCAGCATGACGGACCCCAGTAGCACCATCGTGAGTAGCACGGCGCCCGCCATCAGCTGCTCCATCACCCCGACCACTGCCCCGACCGATGGGTGCGAGATGGGCTGGCAGGGGCTGGTGTAGCCAGCCCTTGCGCTGCTCCGAGATATGTTGGGAGCGATGCCCGAGCTTACCTTCGGCCGCTCCAGCGCCCCGACCAATGCGTGCGAGAAGGATTGGCAGGGGCAGTGGCAGCGTGCGTGCGAGAAGGATTGGCAGGGGCAGTGGCAGCGGGTCCTGGCGCTGCTCAACGAGATGATGGGAGTGAAGCTGGAGCCCGCCATCATCTGCTGGAGCCCGCCATCGTCTGCTACATTATGTGGCAGTTGCAGCCGACGTCGGTGGGCGCGAGGTGAGTGAGGTCGCGCGGGTGGACGTCGCCAGGGTCGACGAGGAGGTGGCGGAGGAGGTCGGGGAGTTGGAGGCGGCGGTCGGGGGCGGGGGCGGTGCGAAAGAGGTGGCGGAGGTCACCGCGGAGCAGGAGGAGGTGGAGGAAATCGCGGAGTGGTTTGACGACGCTGCGCGTGTGCGTATATGCTATCACACCGCCGGGGACATCGGTCATTTTCTTACCGCGTCGCCTCGGCCAGGTCTAGATCATAGAGGAGCTGGTGGCTACAGGGGAGGGGGGGCCCAGTATCGCTTTTCCTAGTTCGGGATCATCCAGAATCGAGGCCTGCGGGGGCCCCGCTGGCGACCGTGGGGAAGGGGGCATTCGGGGAGACGCGAGGGGGCCCAGCCGCGGCGCGCTCAGGGAGGACTCGCTCGCTATGGCGGGCAGGCCCCCCGCTCCAGACGAGTCTGCTTGTATTGACGAATGAGTCCCAAGTCCCCGGGCTCCGTGATTCCCCCCCTGTCCTATCCCCGTCGTTGGTAGGGCCCCCCTCTCTCTCTCTCTCTCTCTCTCTCTCTCCCGACGCGCGGCGGTCTCTGCCCGGGGACTGCTGCGCCGACGGAGGGTTGGGTCTGCTTCGCTCTGCGTCATCCCCGCTCAGGGATGGCGCAGACACTTTCTCGCATGGAGTTGTCGCGATTAGTGGCGCCCCTAACGATGGAGGGCTGGTACCGCCTTGCTCCGCGCCATCCCCGCCCAGGGGCGGCGCGGGCGCTTCGTCGCGCGGAGTTGCCGCGATTAGCGGCGCCCCCAGTGGCGGATGTTGTGCAAGCTATGTGGCGCAGCCGCGCAACGAGGCGCCCTGGGGGTTGGGCCGTCGTCGTTCCGCGCCATCCCTGCCCAAGGGCGACGCGGGCATTGTTCGAGATTTCGTAATAAAACGGAGGGGGTCTGGACCCTCCAAGACAAGCCATTTCAGACCCCCCCCCGTGGGAAAACCCTCCAAAACATCGTCCCCAGACCCCCCCAGGCCCTCCAAGATAGCCTGGAAGAGACCCCCCCCCGAAATGAGACCCCCCTCCCTTTATTACAAAATCTGGAGTATCTCGCATGGAGTTGCCACGATTGGTGGCGCCCCCAGCGTTGGAGGGTCGGGTCTGCCCTGCTCCGCGCCGTTCCCGCCCAGGGGCGGCGCGGGCGCTTCCTCGCGAGGAGTTGCCGCGATTAGTGGCGTCCCCAGCGGCGGTTGTTCTGTAAGCTGTGCAGCCAGCGCGCGAGGCGCCCGCGGGTTTTGGTTCACCTCGTTCCGCGTCAGCCCCGACCAGGGTTGACGGCAGCGCACCTTAGCAACACGGCGCGGGCGTCTCTCATGAGCTGCCACCGAACATGTGTTCTCCGTGTTTCCACCACCCCCATCGAAAAACCATCGTCGCCGCCCCGCCGACGCAGGGTACCGCACCATTGCTCTCCCGTGCTCCTGGTGCGTGAGCAGCGAGCCGCGTCACCCGACGTTCGACGACGACCCGCGCCCCTGGCCGTCCCCCCTCCCTCCCCGCGGGGGCCGGCGAGGCGCCACGCGGCGCTCCCGCGGGGGCACCACTTCCGCGACCGAGAGACCTTCTTGGGTCGAGGATCGGTCGAGGATCGGGGTTCGAGGATCGAGTATGAAGGGTTTTGGGCGTTCTCCGCCCTTCCCGTGGCCACCGGTGGATACACGTCGGAACGCACCCCTGGAGAGGTCTACCGGTCGAGTTTTGACCCCTTGGCCCCGATCGCCTGGCGTCGTGAAGTAATCACGATGGAAGGCTTTTCGGCGATTTCGGCCCTTGGGTGCCCTTACCAGGCCTCGGGACCATCAAAGAACGGATCAGGATGAACAGCGGACCCCGGGGAGTAGGCCGTCCCCTTTGGAGGTCCACGTGGCGAAAAATTCACGACGCCGGGGGTCTGGGAATGGAGTGGATGCACGAATGGGCCTTCCGAGGAGGAGAGCTCGGAACATGCAGCGTCTCATCCGTGCCCAGTCTTACGATGCCAGCCCCAAGCTGCTCCGTGGCCTCCTAGGGCCTGGCCCTCCGCTGGATGCCAGTTCCCGACCCCCTGCGGAGCCACTGCGGGCCACGGGCACCCTGGCCGGGTCCGCTTCCACACCCTGGGGCTCGCCTGGCGCTCTTCCGGCTACCACGACCCCGTTGGGCCCAGCCTCCTGGCCAGGCTCGGTTCCATTGCAGTGCCTCCCGGCGAAAGGAGTATATGCACACATCGGGAGCCTCGAGACGGGGGTCAATGCAGACGGGGGTCAGCCAGAGCGCCAGAAGCTGCAGGATCCTGCGAAGACCCCCTCTGGCTGACCCGGGTTAGCGAGCCGCTCGTGGCCGCGAGGCGGCCGCGCGTATTGGCTGACCCGGGTTTGCGAAGACCTGCGCTGCAGTTTTTTTTCCTGCATTGCAGTTTTTGGTTTCCTGCCGACCCGGGTCTGGATTGACCCGGGTCAGAAGATCCCCGAACACACATACATGCATGCATGCATGCATACATACATACGTACATACACATCCATACTACATATACACTACATATACACACATGTATACATGCATACACACATACATATGCATTTATGTTTGTGTAAAAATTGATCGAGAGAGCAGAGGCGCAAGCAGAACGGGCGTTCCGGAACCACGTGGGCCCGAAACGGAATGAGTTTGCGCTGTCGGAGGACTTACATCTGACGAGCTCAAATGTCGATCAAAAGGATCAGATGTTCAACTCAGTTCGACTTAATTTGCGTGTTTGCGCCTGTGCCCGCTGTATCCCGTCATAACAAGCGTGATTTTGCCTGACGCGGGGGCTCTGCACACTGAGGTCGACGCACGTGCAACGTCGTGCGCTCGTGGAACAATCGAGGCACATACTCCAATCAAATTTCCCTACGTTTTACTCTGACGTCGGGTCGATAGTTGGACGGTTGCGATCTCTTCTGCTCTTCAATTCTCTCTCGGGGGAAAGCGTCAGATGTTCGATGCCGTTAGCTTGAACTGCTTTCTCTTGTCCGCACGGCCAGGCAATGTGATCCGCCCGGCGCCTCTGGAGCGCGCGGCCCTCAGCAGCCTTCTCGGCCTGCGATCGCACGATGTGCCCCGCTGACTTCTCGCCCATCTGGCGGAGGGGGGCCATGGGGGGAGGGGAGGAGGGCAAAGGCGAGGGAGGGAACGAGAGAGGCAGGGAGGAAGGAGCACGCATGTGCTACTTACAACTAAACCTTCGGAGGTCCGCGCGGACTTCTAGGGTCGGCGCCGGACCCCTCCCACTCGCATGCTTGGTGCCTTTGTTTGTTCGTCTGCTGTCGGGGGTGGACAGAAACCCCCACCCTGACACGTCGATTAGTGACTTGTCCGTCTTCGGTTCTCGAGATGGCGCCACGGCCGTCATTTTCCAGGCCTGCGCCCGCCAGGTCTGGGCCCGAGGTCGTCTTCACTCAGCCACATCGTTCTAGAGGGGGTTCTGCCCATCCCCGATGCTGCCCTCCAGCAGCAGCCGCAGGCCCCGCGTCGTTCTGGGGCTCCGCCTCCAGGCGCCCGCCGCCGCGCTCGTGCTGGCCCCTCGCGCCCGCTCGTGTGCTGGCCCGCCACCGCGGCCGGCGGACGGCTGGGCTCGCGGCGCGGACCAGCCTGGAACACGTCCCCATTGATGGGCCTGTTTTCCACCACCACCACCATAAGTTGGAGGGTGAGGGGGTCCTCTTCCTCCTCCTCCTCCTCCTCCTCCTCCTCCTCTTCGTCGTCGTCGTCCTCCTCCTCCTCCAGCTTATGGTGGTGGTGGTGGAAAACAGGCCCATCACCCATGCCCATAAACCTCTCGGAAGGCGCGAGGCCTTCTGAGAAGCCCCGCCGCCTTCTGCGAAGGCCGTCGCCTTCCTTTCCACTCCCCGCCGCCGAGTTTTTGTAGTCCACCTCCTACGGTCGAGCATCTGATTAAGAAAGCTCCTCCCGAAAAGCTGGGCCGGCGTTTAGCCAGCTTGCCGGAAACTTGGCCCACTTTCTTGAGCGTGTTCGCCCCTCCAGCGTTAACGCGGACCTTTGGCCCAGGTACCTTGAGAAACTTCCAGAAAGCTGTCCCAGTTTTCTTAACATACAGCTTTCCTGGTCCTATGTTCGGCTCTACAGTCAACCCGCATAGTAAGGATGGGCAACCTTCCCAAGGGTACCCTTGCATCCCTGCCTCCTCGGTCCATCCTCGGCCACTTCCGTTGGCCGCGCCCCGGTCGGGAAGCTTCGAAATGGGTTCCCAAGGCCCTTGCATCCTTATCGCGCATCCTTACTATACGGGTTGGCTGTAGTCGAATCTGTGGGCCAGGGCTCAGCTCGAGGCCATCTGTGTGCCTGCCCGCGGGCGGCCCGTGCAGAGGCCCAGCGTCAGCGGGCTGCTCGCCCTCTGGCCTGCGAGCTCGAGCAGGAGGTCGACTGCAGACTTACACGCCGGTCGTTGGTAGCAGGCATTTCTGGGTTCCCGGATCCCAACCCGCTTCAGGCGCCTCCCTACTTCATGAGTGGAGTGGTCTTCCCTCTTCCCTCGTTCTCAGTGGGCGGGCCGGAGCCCAACTTGCTTTCAGCGCCTTTCGATGTCATGTTTCTACCCACACACACCGTTTGAAACGCAACACGTGCCGTACTTAAAGCGTTTGTGCGAATACGTTGCGTGTTGGCTCAGCGTATTGGCCCACGTTTTGGCGAACGTATCGCGTCAGACGTACGCTTTTGAGTCTACGTGTTGAGCCCCGTGTCAACACGCTACGTGTTACGTGTTGCGTATCGGGGCAGCTAAGTACCTAATGGGTTTGCCCCAGAAATTGAAACCTTCGCCGGATCCGCGAAAAGTGCGTCGAGCGGTAGTGGATCTACGGACGCTCGGCTTTTCTTTTTCGGGTATGGCGGCGGCATTGGATCAGGAACGACTTCCTGGGGCCCAGACCCTGGCGCATTACTTATTGCTTCAAGGCGAGGTGGGTGGCCCACAAATGGCCGCCCATCGACCGCGAGACCCCGGATTCCTCATCGATTATCCAAAACCTCCACCGTAGATTCGACGACCCTTCCATTTCTGGGATCAGTCAATGCTGCAGTCGGTCTCCTGCTCGAAGGTCGGAGGGCTCGAGGGCGGCGCCACGCGCGGCGCCACGCGCGGATGCCCGCGGGGGCCGAGCGGGCCGTCCAGCGGAGCGTGGCATGCTGAGGGACGAACGGCGTACGCCTCCAGCTGAGCGGCGCAGAAGCTCGGGATGACACTGACACACACACACACACACTGACACACACACACACATTGACACACACACACACACACTGACACAGACTGACTCACACACGCGCTGACACACGCACACGCACCCACACATGCACACTCACTCGCACACACACGCACACACGCCCACCAGACGCACAGACACACACGAACACACGCACAAGCGCACATAGGCACACACTCTCACACACCCACACACTCAAACAGACACACACACACACACTGACACTGACACACACACACACACTGACACACACACACACACACTGACACACACTGACGCACACACACACACACACTGACACACACACACACACACACACGCACTGACACACGCACACACGCACACACGCACATACACCCACCACACGCACTGATATACATATATATATATAATACACATATACACAAACACGCACACATTTACACACGCACACACGCACACACGCACGCACACGAACTGACACACCCACACACACACTGACACACACACACACGCTCAGACATACACGCACACACGCACACCCGCACACACGCACACGCACACACGCACACAGGCCACACACGCACACAGCACCAAAACACACACACCACACCAACACACACACACACGACCCTCCCACCCCACACACACACACCACACGCCACACCAACACTCACACAGCACGCACATACGCACACACACACGCACAAGCGCGCGCACACAGACACACACGCACACACACACACTCACCCACCCACCCCACCATGCGCACCCCCCCCACACACACACGCACTCACGCATACACACGCATACACACGCACTCACACACGCACACACGCACACACCCACACACCCACCACACGCACACACGCACACACACACACGCACACGCGCACACACGCACACACATACGCATACGCACACACACGCACGCACACACACCTGACGCATATGCAGACACGCACACGTGCACAGCACACGAACGTACGTACACACACGCACACCTACCACACGCACACACACACACACACGCACACATACGTACACACGTATACTGCTACGCACATACCCTGACACACACACACACGCACACACACACACACACGCGCGCACACACGCACACACGCACACATGCGCACACACACACACACACCGTACGCACGCACACACACACGCGCACACGCACACACATGTTCACACGCACACACACTGACACACACACACACACACCCACCCACCCACACACACACGCACACTGACACGCACACATACACACGCACATACACACACGCACCCGCGCACACACGCACACACACACACGCACAGGCACACACGCGCACACAAGAAAACACACCCACACACACACACTGACTCAACATGCACACACACACACACGCACACACTGACACACACACACACACACTTTTTGCGCCGGCGGTTAGGCAGAGGGGCTGCGCTGGCGACTGACACACACGCGCACACACGCACACCCACCCACCACACGCACACGGACACACGCACCCACGCACACTCGCACACACACCCACAAACACTGACACACACACACACACTGACACACACACACACACACACGCACACACACGACTACACGCACACGCGGACACACACCCGCCACACGCACACACACACGCACACACACACACGCGCGCACACACGCACGCACACACACACACACCCACATACCCACACACACAGACACACACACACAAACATACACGCACACACGCACACACGCACACCCGCACACACGCACAAATCTCGGCGTACCTTCCTTGTGTACCCGACCTCGGGCGCCAACGCCCCAACGACGGGTGCGGCGACCGAGCCAGGGCTGCCGTCCCGCGAGCGCCCCGCGTGGGGGGTGCTTTCGGTGACGCGCACAGTCCCCGACCAGGCCAGCCTGGGCGTTGAACCCCAAGGGCGGGCGGGAGAGGCGGACAAGGGGCCGCCAACGACCGAGGCAGCCCCGCACCCAGGAGCGGGTGGGTGGGGCAGAACGGCCGACGGGCCCGCGCCGCGCGAGCGCCGCACGAGCGCGGTGCCCAAATCAATATAATAGACAACCTGCGAAGCGAGCATCGCCAAGGCGCGCCGCGATCCGCCCAGTGCGCGATCCCCGCGGCGCGCCTGCGCGAGCGACCGCGGCAGGCCCGCGCGAAACAACACAGAAGCGCAAAGACGCGACTGCGGGCGGTGCGCGCTGCGGTCGGGCTGCATGCGGCGCGCGTCGCACGCGCCGCGGCGCCGCAGGGCCCGTCGGCCGACCTGCGATTTGTGCCCGCGCAGCACCCTACGGGCGCGCGCCCCCCACAAATCTCGGCGCACCTTCCTTGTGTACCCGACCTCGGGCGCCAACGCCCCAACGATGGGTGCGGCGACCGAGCCAGGGCTGCCGCCCCGCGAGCGCCCCGCGTGGGGGGTGCTTTCGGTGACGCGCACAGTCCCCGACCAGGCCAGCCTGGGCGTTGAACCCAACGCCGCAAGCGCCCAGGCTCGCCTGGTCGGGGCGCGCCAGGCCTGCCGCGACCCAATGGAACCCCGGGTGCAGGTCGCAGTGCGCGCCGATCGTGAGCCTGGCCGACTTACCCCGCAGGCACCGATGCAGAACCTGGTCTGCTCGCCGCGCTGGCGCTTGGGCACGAGGCTGCGGCCACTGCTTCGGCGGTCGCATCGCTCTCGTGCTGGTGCATATCAAGGTATTCTTTGAAAGCGCGGGAACTCCAATCGGCACCGCGGAGGATCTCACAAAGGCGGCCGTTGCACCTCCGCCTAGTCTCCGCGTGCCCGCGGCGGAACGCTTTGCTCGTAAAAGAAGCCGCGCTTGGTGCGCCGGCGTGCCGTGCCGCCGCCTTGATCGCGCGCTGCACGGGCACGGCGATTGAGACGACGCCGCTGCCGTCGACTCGCCGCATATGCGGGAACGCGGGCGAGCCGACGCAAATGCCCTCGAAAAAACTACGCGCCGCGTGCACAATGCAAGTCGCACGCGAATGTTTGCACCAGCAATTCCGCACCGCGATCGTCGGGCCGTCGCGGTGCTTACGCCGCGAGAAATGCAACGTTGCAGAATCGCCCGAAAAGAAGATGACGACTCTTGCGACTGGCCTTCGCAGGTCTTCGTCAGAGAAGGCGAAGTCCTTAAATGCCGATGGGTCGCCTCGCTCAATCAAGAGGGCCTCGGAGGGCACGCGCAGAGCGAATCCCCAGGACACCAAGCAGAGCGCGCACGTCGCGCTGTCGGCACTTGCAAAGTCGAGCATAGCCGATAAGTGCGAGAGCAGGACGAAACACTTCAGCGGCCGCCTCACGGGGTGCCGCTTCCCGATGGCCTTGCGGGCGCCCCTAGCCGAAGGATGCGAAAAGGCCGACGCGTCCCGGCCCAACAACTGGCATGCCTTCTTAAGCTGTGCCACGTAATTGCCGAAGGTGCGCGGGTTGCGAAATTCGAGCGCGAACGAGCGCACCTCGTCGGCCGACGGTGGCAGTGCGCTGCAGCCGTCTTTGTTGAGGCGACGCTGCGCGAAAGCCACCCACGCCCGGACCGCAGCCCTCCAGGACCCGAAGGGGCGCGGCGCCGAGCCGACGATTGCCAAAGCTCGTGCGCGGGCCAGGCTTACCTGTATGGCCACTGGCGACGGGGGCCCGCGAGCGCCGCTCGCGATGGACTTGCGAGGGCCGCCCGTGGGCACGGGTGACAATTGCACGCTGCGCACGGCCCTGTAAGCGCGCGCCAGCTCTCGCTTCGCCGCGCTGTCGCACGCGGCACCCGGCGCGAGCGCGCCCGGGCCGCCGCGCGCGGGCGCCGGTTGTTTCAGCGCACGGGACGGCGCTGGAGGCGGTCCGATCGGCGGCCGCGGAACTCCCGCCGCGATCTCACGCAAGCGCGCTTGGGCGTCTGCGGAGAAACGCTCAAAACCTGCTACGCGTTCCCACTTTGCGCCGCGTGCGTCAGCGACGTGTTCGAAACCGTTCGCGACCAGTACATTCGCAATCAGATCAACTTCCACATCATTGCCTGCGCGCGAAAAACGAGCGACTGAGCCTGGCGGCGCGCGCGATGGCCGGATCGCCAGGCGCGCCCGCCCTGCGCAGTCCAAGCGCCAAGCGTTTCACATCCATGCCACCAGACGACAAACGATCGGAACCGCGACGCGCGGCCGAGCAGGAACGCCCCCCCCTCGCCGCGCGACCGGCGCTGGCTGCAGTGGCGGCGCGCGACCGGGGGGGGCGCGGGGAGGAGGAGGAGGGGGGGGGGGGGGGCGAAGGGCGGCGCGCGCGGACGCGGAGCGGAAGACGCCCGGCGCTCCCAGCGCGGCGTCCAACCTGCACGCGGATGCAACCGATGATGCAGGGAAGCGACAGACGATGAGAACCCTCGCTCTTTTTGCTCAGAGCCACAGCGCCTCCCAGGCCTCGGCTGCGCGCAACCGCGCATCGAGTGCCGCTGGCACCTGGCGCGCGCCGAGCAGGTGCAAGAGACTGTAGACCTCGCGGGGCGGCCCGTCCGAGATGTTGCTTTTGGACGGGGCGCGGTGCGCCCGCGTCGACAGGGACATGCGCGCCGCGAGAGACCAAATGCCGTGGACGAGGGCTGTGTGATCCCAGTCCCGGGCGCCACTGACCTCTCGGCCCCCGAATTGTCCGAGAACGCTTCCAGCGCCCGGCCTGCCAGTCGCTCTTCAAAAGACGACAAGCCTAATGCGACCGCCAAGACCTCGAGGCCCATAATCTGGCCGCCGCCAAGACCTCGAGGCCCATAATCTGGCCGTCGCGTCTGCGCTCGAAATTCCGCATCAGAGCTGCGTCGGGTGCGCGCTCGGCAAACAGGATTTCGCCGTCTATAAAAAGCACGGCGGCGGCGCGAGGGGGCGTGCTCCGCGCGTCGCAGAACATGTGTGCCGCGGGCATGTCCCCTTGCTTCCAGCTGGTCACTTCGTGCAGCCTGAGCTCGAGCACTTGGGCCCACCAGTGCAGCGCGAGCTCGAGAGGCCGCCGGATACGATTGGAGCGCTTGTGCTGGTGCGCGAAGAGTGGGCGGAGCATTGCTCTGCCCAAGCGCTTAAACAAGTGCTGCGCGGCCCATGCGAGAGCGCCCGCGAGTTTTTTTGCAGCGCCCTGGTGCAACGTGCCGCACTCTAAAGCATGCCGGATGGCGGACGACCACTTGAGCCGCTTGTCGCGCGCTGGCTCGCAGTGTACGCCCTGCGCACAGAAAGAGAAGAGCAGCCCAACACGACCAAATGGGCCCCGTGCGCCACCTTCGCATCGGCTACTGCGTCGCTGCCGAGCGCGGCTCTGACGATGCGAGCGAATCGCCGCATGGCGTGGTCGGCCGCGCCGGGGCGATCCGGCGCAAAAGAATCGTTTACGTATCGCGAAACGGGCAGCTTGGCGAGCCGCCTTGCGAAGTGCGAGAGCATGGCGGCCACGCGGTCCCAGTCGTGGCAAGATGCTAGCGCGCCGAACGGGCAGACCAGGTGCTGCGAGCACCACAGGCGGCCGCCCTCCTTGAAAACACTGACCGCGGCCCACCTATCGGCGGGGGCCAACGGGATGCGGCGGTGAGCGGAATCTATGTCCGCTTGCCGCAGCTCGGGAAGTGCGCCGTGCAACTCGAAGAAGGCGCGCGCGACCGCTACCAGCTGGTCCGCGCCCTCTACGCTTAATTTCTCGGCGGGAGCGCGCGCGCCGTTCACCCTGGAGCGCGTGAAGTCATCCACCGGGCGCACTTTCAGCGACCCGTCGGGCTTCGGTTGCGAGACCCCAAACCTGGGCACCAGACGAATCGTTTCGCCCCAAGCAGCAGCAAGCTCGGCCGCGGAGATGTCGGGCCTAAAAGCCCGCGGCGGAGACATCCTACCCAAGTCCGCCTCCTCCCGCGTCTTACGGAGCAGCCCGCTGGCGAGGGGATCCTCGCGAATTGATGCAAGTATCAAGTCGTTGCGCGCGAGCGCGCTGGCACGCAAACGGGCTACCTCAGCGCTAGTGTCGCCCGCGCGCTCTTCCGGGCTGAGCGCGCGACCGTTGCCGCTGTGTTCTAGGTTACCCAACAGAGGGGCGCCTCGCGAGACGAAGTCGATGCACTCTGCGTCGTGCCACTCAGACTCACGCGCCAATTCTTTTAAAAGTGGCTAAGGGGCCTGAATTCCGGTGGCGCAGCCTTTCTCGCGGCCTCGGCCTCCCCGGACGCCTCGAAGTGCGCCGCCCGGGCTTCGATGCGCCGAACGCGCTCCTCGCGTTCTTTGATGCGCTGGCGTAGGCTACGCGCGGCGCTCCACCGCAGCGCTTCCATGCACTCGCACTGTACGTCCGTGCGCTTCGGCTGCGCGTCGCGGCGGCCGAGCGCCTCGCGCGTGAAACGCAGCGCCTCGACCTCATCGGGCGCTAATTCGCCGTGCAGAGCTTGCGCGCTGGCAGCGTCGAATGCCGACTGGAAGCAACTCAGATCAGCGCAGGATGTGTTGGAGAGAACTGCACCTGACTGGACCCTCACTGGCTCCGCGGCTGACTGCGCAGGGTGCGCGGGGAGTGCTGCCCCCGCGTCGGGCGGGGCGGCTGCGGCCCCTCACTCTCTCTTCTGGCGCTTGCTTGGCGTCGCCGGCGCCTGCGCCCCGCTGGCGGCACTCCCGGACGAGTAATGCCCCTGCCAGCGGTGAGAGTCGTTCGCGGGCTTGCCCTTGTGCTCTTTGCCGTAGCCCTTGGCCTTGCCGCCCTCGGCGCTGAGGTCGCTGCCGCCTTTGTGGTCCCTGCCGGCGCCCTTTGCCTTGCCCTTCGACTGCGCTGGAGCTCGGTCGTGCACCACTTGGAACCCGCGGGCGTCGTACTCGCGCTCCGCCCGGAGCATGGTGGCCGCGTTCTGCGACTGCGCGGCCGCGGCGACGTCGAAGGTGCCCAGGCCCGCTGAAAGGTCTGCCCATTCGCGCCGGGCGATCTCGTCGTAGAGGACGGCGATCGCGGTCGTGCGCCCACTGGCCCGCGCCGACAGGGCGAGCTGCATCGCGACCTCCTTGTGGGCCATGGACGCCGTGAGCGGCATCTGACCGGTGAGCGCCGCGACGATTGCCCATCTGTCAAGCGCGACGCACCACTGCAGGATGCTCGGCAGGTCCCCCTGCTTCTTGACGGGGCCCCTCGCCTGGCAGATGCCGCGAGCGATCTCCTGCGCGAAGGACCGCTCGACGCCGCGCTCCCCCTCGGGATCGTCGGGCTGCCTCTTGTCCGCCGCGTAGTACGGGGGGAATTCTTGATTGGCATGTAGAGGAAGGGCTTCGTGATGCCCTTGCTCTCCGCGGCCTTGACCTGGCCTTGCACCCAGCCGGTCAGTTGCGGAGACGGCCAGCACGACGCCGGCAAGCCCGCCAAGGTCATGCCGCCCAGGCCTGCGGCGATGTCCACGTGGACCGCCGGCTTGCGGCCGCCCTGGAGCGCCTGCAGGAGGGCGCTCACCGGCTCCTGTGAACCGCTTGGCGCCGCGGCCTCGGCAGCTGCCTGCTGCTCGGCGGACTGGGTTGCCTTTGCGACGGCGCGCTCGAGGAAAGCGACCTTGCCCTCGACCAGCCCGAGCTGGAAGGTCGCGGCCCTGACGTTGAGTTCGACCAGGTCCTCCGGACTCTCGATGCCGTTGGTCGCCAGCACCTCGACCACTGGCTTCAGCCACGTGCGGTCGCGCTTCGTGTGCCTGTCCACCCCAGACTCGAGAAGATCGAGGAGCGGCGCGGACATGGCAGGCGGTAGTGGAGCCAACCACGAGGGCGCACGACGGGAAGGTAAGCAATTCTTTACGCTTCGCGTATCCCCACCAGCCCATCTCACAACAGCAACTCTTGCGAAGCATGCCGACAGTCGTGTTTTTCAGGCGTGTGGCCGCTTGGCCCCGCATATCTCCCCTGTTACTCCTTCCTCCCGCCTCCTTGTACATCCTCCTTGTGGGGGGGGGGGTGGGGAAGGACGAGGCGGAGGAGGAGGGATAGAAAGCGCTCCTCGTGGTTTGAGTCGTTTGGGGTTTCTCGTCCTGGTGTGAGTCGTTCGGGCCCTTCTTCCTGGTGTGAGTCGTTCGGGCTCTTCGTGGTGTGAGTCGTTCGGGCTCTTCGTCCTGGTGTGAGTCGTTCGGGCTTCTCGTGGTGTGAGTTGTTCGGGCCCCTCGTCCTGGTGTGAGTCGTTCGGGCCCCTCCTCCTGGTGTGACTCGTTCGGGCTCCTCGTGGTGTGAGTCGTTCGGGGCCCTCGTCGTGGTGTGAGTCGTTCGGGCTCCTCGTGGTGTGAGTCGTTCGGGCGCCTCGTCCTGGTGTGAGTCGTTCGAGCCCCTCCTTCTGGTGTGAGTCGTTCGGGCTCTTCGTGGTGTGAGTCGTTCGGGGCCCTCGTCGTGGTGTGAGTCGTTCGGGCTCCTCGTGGCGTGAGGCGTTCGGGCACCTCGCCCCCTTTTGGGGCGTCTTGGGGGCCTCTTGGCGGCGCCAGGGGCTTCTAGGAGCGTCTTGGGTGCCTTGGGGGAGCCTCTTCGGGCCTCTTGGGGGCCTCTTGGAGGCCGTTTGGGGCGTCTTGGGGGCCTCTTGGCGGCCCCAGGGGCTTCCGGGAGCGTCTTGGGTGCCTCGGGGCCTCTTGGGGCCTCTTGGGGGCGTCTTGGGGGCATCTTGGGGGCCTCTTGGAGGCCTCTTGGGGGCCTCCTGGGGGCCTCTTGGGGCCATCTTGGGGCCTCTTGGTGCTTCCTGGGCGCTTCTTGGGGCCATCTGGGAGGAAATCGATCAAAGAAGAGGGGGGCTTTAATGAGCGCTGCCCCCTCAGAAGGCCAAAATGGGCCAAAACCGTAGTAAAATCAATGATTTTGGCTTCAAAGAAGAGGGGGGCATTTTTTCCCCCTCCCCCCGTCGGGGCCAGAATCCTCGTGGGGGGTGCGGTTTTTAGCCTCCCAGGGGTCGAAAACGACCCCTCTGACCACCCGCGAGGCGCCCTCTCCAGGCCCAGGGGGAAGGGGCAGGGGGAGGGGTAAACCCCTCCACGAAGGGGAAGAAGGGGGGTTGAGAACAGAGCGGGCTCTCTAAACCATTCACGCCCAAAGGGCTGGTGGGATTCACTCGCTCGAGCGAAACAGCTACGGACCGAAATCGTCCAGCCGGGCGAGCGCGCAGGACCGGCGAGAGCGCGCGCGCCACGGGGCAATGCACGAACACGTGACACCACACTTGCCCGACTTTGGGGCGGCGAACATGTGTCGCCCGCGCTAGGGCGGGCGCACTTGCGACGGCAAAGCCGGCGCTACGGACCGTTGTGCGGGCGCGGTGGTGGCACCGTTGGGTCTCCCTCGTTCGGGTAGTCCAGCAACAGGACGCCCTCGTGCGGGTCGCCTGAACATAAGCGCTATGGTCGCGCTGTCGGGTCGCCCTCGACCGGGTCGCCCGAGTGCAGGTGCGTTTGTAGCACCGTTGGGACTCCCTAGGTCGGGTAGCCCAACAACAGGACGCCCTCGGGCGGGTCGCCTGTACACAAGCGCTATGGTCGCGCTGTCGGGTCGCCCTCGATCGGGTCGCCCGAGTTCGGGTGCGTCTGTAGCACCGTTGGGACTCCCTCGGTCGGGTAGCCCAACCACAGGACGCCCTTGGGCGGGTCGCCTGTAACCGAGTGCAATGGTCGCGCTTCTGGGTCGCCCTCGATCGGGTCGCCCGAGTGCAGGTGCGTCAGTAGCGCCGTTGGGACTCCCTAGGTCGGGTAGCCCAACGACAGGACGCCCTCGAGCGGGTCGCCTGTGCACAAGCGCTATGATCGCGCAGTCGGATCGCCCTCGGTCGGGTCGCCCGAGTGCGGGTGCGTCTGTAGCACCGTGGACTCCCGCGAACGGGAAGCAAAGCAAAAACGCACGCAGGCGCGCGACCACCGACGCCGGGCCACGCAGGAGACGGCGCGATGCCAGGAACAGGCGACGCGACACGACGACGACGACGCGGCGGCAGCGGCGGCGCCAGCGGCGGCGACGCAGCAGCGACGGCGGGCCGCGGCGACGGCGGACGGCGACGGCGCAGCGACGGCGGCGGCGGCGGCGGCGACGCGGCGGCGGCGGCGGCCACGCCCGACGACCGCAGGGGCGAAACACGGACGAAGACCGCGACGACGACGACACCGCGGCGGCGGCAGCGACCCCAGGGGGGGAGGCGCGGCGGCGACGGCGAGAACCCACCAGACAGACGGACGACGGACGACCGACATACCGACGAACGGACGAGGGACGACCGACGGGCCAACGACCGACGGGCCGAGCGAGGCCGCGCCCGACGACCGCCAGGGCGAAACACGGACGAAGACCACGACGAGGACGACGCCGCGGCGGCGGCAGCGACCCCAGGGGGGGAGGCGCGGCGGCGACGGCGAGAACCCACCAGACAGACGGACGACGGACGACCGACAGACCGACGAACGGACGAGGGGCGACCGACGGGCCAGCAACCGACGGGCCGACGAAGAGGGGGGGGGGCAGGACAGGGAAACGCGGGCAGGGACAGGCGGGGCGACGGCCAGGGAGCCCAGAGCGGACCCCAAAGGAAAGGGAACGGCGGTGCCGAAGAGGCGAAAGCCGCCCCGCGTCCAAGTATGAATAGAGAACAAGCACAAGCGAAAAAGGCGCCCATCGCGCACCGCAACGAAACAACCTCTCTTCATCATTATGGCAGAACGGCCGACGGGCCCGCGCCGCGCGAGCGCCGCACGAGCGCGGTGCCCAAATCAATATAATAGACAACCTGCGAAGCGAGCATCGCCAAGGCGCGCCGCGATCCGCCCAGTGCGCGATCCCCGCGGCGCGCCTGCGCGAGCGACCGCGGCGGGCCCGCGCGAAACAACGCAGAAGCGCAAAGACGCGACTGCGGGCGGTGCGCGCTGCGGTCGGGCTGCACGCGGCGCGCGTCGCGCGCGCCGCGGCGCCGCAGGGCCCGTCGGCCGACCTGCGATTTGTGCCCGCGCAGCGCCCTGCGGGCGCGCGCCCCCCCACGCGCGCGCACGCGCCCACCGCGCGCACACGCGCGCGCGCACGCGCACGCACGCGCGCACGCGCACACACAAACACGTACACGCACCCACACACACCGACACACCCACACACCCTGACACACGCGCACACACGCGCACGCACGCACAGGTGCACAGCACACGCACCGACCCACACAAACACACACAGACCACACGCACACACACACACGCGCAACCACGCGCACGCGCACACAAGACGGCGCACCCACACACGCACACTGACACAAACACACGCACGCGCTTCGCACACGCGCACCCGCGCACCCGCATACACACTCACGCACACACATACTGACACACATACACACACTCACACTCGGACACACGTACACACACCCGCCACGCGCACACCCGCGCGCATGCGCACACGCGCGCGCACACACGCACCCACGTCACGCACACACACGCGCGTACGCACACTCGCACACGCGCACTCACGCTCACACTCACACGCGCACGCGCGCTCCTATACACGCGCACTGACAGACACACGCGCACACAAAAGCACCCGCGCACTCACACATGCACACGCGCACGCCCGCACACCCACCACACGCACACACATACGCACATACGCGCATACGCACACGCACCCACCCACCAACACACGCACACACACACGCACACACACACTGACACGCACACACACCCGCACGCGCACACGCACACGCACACACACACACGCACCCAACGCACGCGCGCACATGCATACATGCACCCGCACGCACCAACACAGCCACGCACACACTGGCGCGCGTACCCGCACACGCGCTGACACACACCCGCGCCCGCGCACACCCACACACGTACACGCGGACACACCTCACCACGCGCGCGCGCACACAAGCACACACGCACGCACGCACACACGCACCCACACGCACCTGCGCACACACGCGCACTGACACACACACAGACACTCACTTACTGCCACACACACAAACGCACACAAGCACGCACACACAAGCACCCACAACCACCACACGCACACCCAGATACACACACGCACACGCGCACACACGCGCACACACACGCGCACACACACACACGCACGCGCCCACGCGCACACACGCACGCACACGCACACATGCACGCACGCACACGCTCACGCGCACACGCGCGCGCACACAAAGGCAGACACACACGCACACACACACACACCACGGGCACCCACCCGCACACGCACTCCCGCAGACACACGCACTCACACACGCAGACACGCACTTACGCACGCACCCACCACGCGCACACACACACACACCGACCCACACATTCACCCACACACGCACACACGCACACACGCATACGCACACACACGCACTGACACACCAACACACCCTGACACACATGCAGGCACGCACGCGTGCCCAACACACTGACGTACGCACGCACACCCACCGCACGCACACACACGCACACACACACACGCAGACACGCATACTGCCACACACGCACACTGACACACACGCAGGCACGCACACACACACACACACCCGCGCACACGCACAGACGCACACGCACACACCCACCATACGCACAAACACACCCACGCGCACGCGTACACACGCACGCACGCGTCTGCACACCCACCCACACACATTGACACGCGCACGCGCACACGCACACACACACACACACCCTCACGCGCCCGCGCTCACACGCACACACACACACACACACCGCGCGCGCGCACTCACACACGCACACATACACG